AAAGTTTCATTAATCTTTTACTGTTTCGGAACTCTATTGATATGTCGTATTTAGAACAATCATTCATTCCCCTCTGACAAGTTCATTTTCCCCAATGACATTTTATTGTTCACAAATTAACACATAAATTAAATAATTGCAAAAAATACAACAAATTCGATTCATAAAAAATAAGTTTTGTAAAAAAATTTCTGTTTTAGAAAAAAAATATATAAATATATTTTATTAAATGAGAATTGTAATTAAAATTTAAATTGACAATTTTTCGAGAAATTATCTAAAAAAGGATATGAATAAAAAATGCAAATGTGATTTCTGCGACAAGTGGGCTTGTTCTTTTTACATGTGAATGTTCAGCCAACTCGTTTCTTAATTCTCTTTATAGTCTCCCGACCATCGCATCCCATCGGGTTAAAGGAGTGTCGTAATTCTCTTTCATCGCTGTCAGTATAAATGGAGATCTTATGTTTAGGGTCGTCTACTATAAAGTCTCGAAGAATGATTGATGTCATTAATTCAGGGGTAGACTTCTTTGGCGCATGTATCAACTTAGAATGTATTTCTTTTTTACAGGCCTATTAAAAAAATATATATAACAAATTCAATTTCCATATATGTACTTTATAATTTTCAAAGATATAACAATTTTTTTTTATATAATTCTATTATTTATAATTTTAAATTTAAAAATATATTTTATTATAAGGCATAATAAAAATTACTGAAAGGAGAGTGAGAATCTAATATAGAAATTTTTTCCACCTATGTGTCGAGTGAAGATTTAATCGAATTTCACGATCGATATTTTTTATTGCCAATTAGAGAAATTTTTATTCTTGTCTTGTTGGTATATAATTTTTTATGTGTATTTTTTGTGGGGCATGAACGCTTTTGTTTTATGTAGATAAATATTTTGCCGACAATTTGCTGTGTGGTTTGCGTGTTTGGATTTATCAAATAACTACCGCCCAGTTTGGACGTATGTTATAATCCAATATATAAGTATATGTTTCTTATCTTTTTGGACCATGAAATTTCTGTTTGGATGCTGCTCACATTCTCAGCGGTCAAGGACCCGTGTCGCGCAATGCAACACTTGAACGAATGCAAGTACAGGCGCGTACATAAATGCGCATATATTATCCGTTTTTGATTTATTAATCACACCTTCACGTATTTTCTATTTTCGAATTGAATTATTCAATAGTTACACTGAAAAAAAAATTTTTTTATTTGATTCAAATAATAATCGGTTACATTACTTCAAATATTTTTATTTGAATCAGATAATTATTTTTTTCAATGTAGAAACAATTAAATAAATAAACATATGGGAATTTAAATATTTTTTTCTAAAATTATTTTTCACATGTTAAAAAATTATTTTGCTTCATTACAATTTACGTTTTATGTTTATTTCTCACTCGTTGTTCTTTTTTAATTATCACTTCAATTAACGATAGTAAAATCGCTTTTTATATGAAATATGACGACGGTTCATTGGCAGTAAATTGTAATTTACATGTTATTTTTTTATAACTATATGAAGTTGACGATTGCTTGCGAAATGCTCGTAAAATGCAATTATATCAACAATATAACTTAAAAAAACGTAACCAAATCTTTTTACTGTCTTTAGCCTAAACTAATGAACTATTTTTACATTACAATAAAAGTGAATTGATTCTATTATTATTATGAAATGATTCTACATATATAAGACATTCTTTAGGAGGTATAAAATTAACAAAGTGGAAATTTTTCCTTCTTAATTTCTCTTTTTTTTAATTCAAATTGCTTTTTATTTTTATTGAAGATAGAAGAATAAGATGTTGATATTTTAGATTCTTGATTCGTTATTGAATAATGCATATATCTCGGCCGTTCATTATTTCACTACATATTCATGTACAGCAATTCTGATTAAGATTAATGAACTATTGACCAAATTGTCAAACTATATACAGAAATTATTTTTGGAAAAAAAAATTAAATAAAAACTTTATTTTAATGTATTATATTAATTAATTATTAATTAATTATAATAATTATGTAATTTATTAATTAATTTTATAATTTTATAATATTAATTTAATTAATTAATATTAATATTAATTTAATACTTTTATATTCTTTACCTTTCCGTACTAAAAATATATGTTTGCGCTCATAATGCATTTATTCTGTTAAATGTTGAGACTGATAAATTGACCATTTCACTTTTATATAATCGCATTATTATGAATCTGCTTAAGGTCTTAAGCATGTAGCGTCCGTGTCAAATAAAAAAAAAAAAGAAAAGTGTAGCATGAAGGATATACAATTAGAGGGATGTGTGTGCGTTAAGCTTATTTAAGTAGTAAATAAAAGCCATGTGGTACTTTTTTTCCAGAGCAATTTGCAACACTTAATTTTAACGCGAAAACCATTTTTGTAAATTATTGTTTATTACAATGTTTATTATATAATATTTACGTTCATTTTCAAACTCATATATATTCATATATTTGAAGTTAATTTCTGTTTCAGTAATTTTTCAAGATTTTCTATTATTATTTTAATTTAATTTTTTTTAATGATTTTAATTTTATTATTATTTTTTTGTAATAATTTTTCTATTTTTTGTAATGATTTTTATATACATATATTCTTATTTAAAAATATTTTGTTAACAATTTAATTTTGACTTTAAAATTGGCAATTTTCTGATATGTAAATCACTTGTGCAATTATACTGTCACCTTGAACTCTTGGGAAGTGCATTCCTCTTCCGACTTTAGAAGACACATGTTGTTTCCTCACTAACCTAAAGTCTTTTGTGTTTATTATTATGGCTCGTGGTGCAATATATCGTGTGTTTTATAACTCGTATAATAAGGCTCGAGGTACACGTGTTTTCCAACATATCTGCATTATCTTTAATTGCGCATTTTGTCGTTCTTTCCTTTTTCTTTTTCTCTCTCTTGAAAAGCCATTTAGAAAATTGATAGAACTTTTTATCTCATTTACTAAAATTTCTCGATCATCTATCTTTTGTTTTTCTTTCCAACACTGTTTTCCATCTTCTCATATATATATGTTTCTTTTCGTGTTAAATTTTTATTTAATGAGGAGCTGGAAAGTAAAACTCGCTCTCCGCTCGGATGGACTCCGTAGAGCCAGTCAAACATTTGAAAAAGTGATAAAAATTGAAATTCAAAATTTTGAATTTTGAAAAGTACTACATTATAGGAAATTAAAAGGCGCATCTTTTTTCCTTTGAAATTTTTTTATAAAACGAATATTTTAGTTTCTAGAGACCAAAAACTGAGAAATTTAAATTGTTAAATTTAATTAAGTTTTAAAACATAAATCATCGTATCTCCGACAATTATTAATGAATTTGATTCAAATTTGAGATGTACACGTAATAGGGTCTACTAAAGGCGACAAAATAATGAAAAATTAAAAAATCATTAATTGTTTAAATTTTTTTTAATAAAAATTGTGACCAGTTGATAATAACGTTTTCTTACTTTCATCGACAAAAAGTCTGCGGGGAACTTTGTAGTTTAGAAAACTTCCAGTGAGACATTTGTTTATCACTATATAAGGAAGTTTTCTGTAAAATATTAAACCAATTCATTGAAAACTTTAAAAATTATTCAAGTTTTAAGAAAGCGCGGTTGACGCGCAAGTAAGTCCTAACGCTATTCGTACAGACAGCTGTTCCGTGCATGAAATATAATTAGATTTTCACATTAAAGTATAAATTTCTTTATTATTATTATTATTATTATTATTATTATTGCCTATTCAGAATTAAAGTTTGTTGACAATTAATACTACAATGTTCAATTCTGTAATTACCATGTTATTTTATTGAACAAATATAATTTACAAATTTTTTGTCATTTTGAATAAATGGAAAATTATATGTATTTTAAAAATGATGCTAATTACAAATATCTTATTAACTTTCTAAAGTTTATAAAACTGAACAATCCTAAGACCAAAATTTTATTTTATATAATTAAAATTGAATTAAAAAAAATTTATTTTACAGAACGTTAATTTTCCATTTATCCAAAATGACAAAAAATTTGTAAATTATATTTGTTCAATAAAATAACATGGTAATTACAGAATTGAACATTGTAGTATTAATTGTCAACAAACTTTAATTCTGAATAGGCAATAATAATAATAATAATAATAAAGAAATTTATACTTTAATGTGAAAATCTAATTATATTTCATGCACGGAACAGCTGTCTGTACGAATAGCGTTAGGACTTACTTGCGCGTCGACCGCGCTTTCTTAAAACTTGAATAATTTTTAAAGTTTTCAATGAATTGGTTTAATATTTTACAGAAAACTTCCTTATATAGTGATAAACAAATGTCTCACTGGAAGTTTTCTAAACTACAAAGTTCCCCGCAGACTTTTTGTCGATGAAAGTAAGAAAACGTTATTATCAACTGGTCACAATTTTTATTAAAAAAAATTTAAACAATTAATGATTTTTTAATTTTTCATTATTTTGTCGCCTTTAGTAGACCCTATTACGTGTACATCTCAAATTTGAATCAAATTCATTAATAATTGTCGGAGATACGATGATTTATGTTTTAAAACTTAATTAAATTTAACAATTTAAATTTCTCAGTTTTTGGTCTCTAGAAACTAAAATATTCGTTTTATAAAAAAATTTCAAAGGAAAAAAAGATGCGCCTTTTAATTTCCTATAATGTAGTACTTTTCAAAATTCAAAATTTTGAATTTCAGTTTTCATCACTTTTTCAAATGTTTGACTGGCTCTACGGAGTCCATCCGAGCGGAGAGCGAGTTTTACTTTCCAGCTCCTCTAATGTTGTAATATATCCCTTTCAAGTTAATCTTGAGAAAATTCTTCTAGTTCTATACAAATAATGAAAAAACAAGAATTGATTCGAATTAAAATTGTAATTGTAACCAATTAGCGAATTAGTTTCAATAATACTAATAAAAAAATTATTAGTTTCAGTGCATTGTTGCTGTTGATCTTCACGGTCCTGAATGTGACATACGCTCAAGCGGACATATTCGGCGAGAAGAAGGGTGAGTCAAAAAAAAAGAAAATATTAATAATCTTTGAATTTGAAAATCATTGATTTATAATAATTTACTCTATCGAATAATATTTTGGAATTAAATTTGATTTAAATTTAAAGTAATTGCTTAAAAAACTATATGTTTAAATAACACATGAGAAAAAAATTTTAAATCAAGGGATTTCTATTTTATTATAAATATAAATACTCGACACTCAAAAGGGAACTTTTGTTTTCCGGATAAGCAAAGTTCGCCTAAGGGAAAAGGATCCCCCCTTATCATCATAATAAATAAAACTCAGTATTTTGTGAGAGAAAGATAAAATTTATATTTGATTTAGATAAAACTTTTATACCGATATGTCTATTTTACTTACGTGAGTTTTATAAAATTGCCTTTGATTTCTTTAAACTTTTTATTTTTTTTTGTTTCTCTAAAAGTTTCTTGAATATTTGCTCTCCGTGTTTGAAAGTTTGTATATAAGTTATAAACGTATATATGAATCGAATCGATATTTATATCCATGCGATACCTCTTATTCATATGCAAATTGCATGGCATGTTTTAATTACCGAAATGCTCTGTAAAGTTCCCTATATTGCTATAGCCATTTACCGAATGGTTCTTGCTGCACACCTGGGAATCGTCCCGAGTTTCCTTATGTAAAATAGACTTTGAAAATATATAGTGGGGAAAATAGTAGAAAAAAATAAAATTAATCCCTTTTATAATAAAACAAAATTATTTTTTTAAATTTTCATTTTAAATTCGGTTTATATAAAAAATAATCTGAAAATTAATTGTAGTTTTAATGAAAGTAAAACACATTTACGACGTCATTATTTTAGTAGAAAATTTATTTTCCAACTAAACACTAAAGCAACTAATGCCGAACAAACTAAAGTAATTTTCAAGTTAAGGCTTGACAAAATTTACAATATTAACTTCCAGTACAATTATCTCATCCCAAGATTTCTAACTCTCGAAGCTTGAAGTAATTTCTTCAAAGAAAATTATCTCGAAAAACTTCTCATAATTTTTCAATTATTTAGAAATTTGAATTAATGTATGATTTCACTCTTTTTTTTTTGGTGTGGTTTTTATTTCGCTTTTGAAAGAATTTTGAGGAAACAGTTTAATCATAGATTCATGTTGAAATGAGTATTGAACTATTTTTAAAAACTGGTACAAATTTGACTATAGAGGAAGAAATCTCAATTATTTCTGGTGTGCCTAGGAAAGATTTGCCTCCGGCCACTTCCCGAGCTTTTCTCTTATCAGAGTAAGAGGCAAAGAGGCACGATGAATAGCTCCCGCAGGATGTACGATAACACTCTCATCCCCACTGCCTCATTTGTATCCACCCTTGTCCCCCCTTCTCTCTCTCTCTCTTCCAGTTCTATTTCGCGGAAATGAAAAAATATACTTTTCATAATACATATATACTCGTAAAGTAAAAAGGTTTCTATATAAATAATTCTTCGTCACTATCTGAATAATTTAATTTATCTTATGAAGAATTAATTAATCAAATTGTATCTGTTTCGATAAAGAAATAATAAAAATGTTTCTTAAAATTAACCTTTAATAAACCTTTAATAAACGAAAAATTGTTAAAGAGAAATTAATAATTAAATAATAATTTAATTGTAAATTTAGTTGGTCAATTAAAGCATTTGGAGAGATATATAGGATATTTATCGAAAATTAAACATAATTATATTGTCATGTAGTATGGTAATTTAATCCGTATTAAAAGTTAATGGGAATATTAATTAATATTCATAGGTATCAGGATTTTAAAGTCGATCAAAAGTAAGAGAAATAAATTATTTACTGTAGCATTTACTTTATTATTTATTAATTACTCAGTAGCATTCTTTTCACGTGAGAATTCTGTATAAAATTATTTGGTTTAAATATTTTTTGCCATTTGAATAATAGTAGATTCTCATTTTCTTTTTTTATTAAAACATTGTATATAGGTATAAAGTTGATGATTCTTTTGTTATTCATCGAATTCCGTGAAATAGAATTTATTGCTTCACTCAATTCTAATATTTGTTTCATCTTATTCGACCCCTTGAAGGTTTACCCTTATTTTTTTTTATCCTGGCATATGATCTTTTTCTCACCGTGAAACTAAGTATCTCAACGACATGCTTGTGTAACCGAGTGAGCTAAAGCGATAGCAGCAAAACATAGGGAAGTTAAGTTAAATCCTCCATCTGAGAAAAACGGGTATTGTGTTTAAGAAGAAAATGGAGATTTCAATGTTATATCGAGGAACATTTATATAAAAGGCATCTTCATTCTATTTCCTAATTGACTTCTCAAGATTTAGGGGAAAAAAGAAAAATTGTTTTCACTTTCTAGAAATTTGTTTCTCTTTATCTTGTTCAATCAAAATTTTGTCTTCCTTTTTTAATTCAGATATTAAAATGACGTAGGAAAAAAAGTAGTGCATTTTTTTTCAATCGTTTACAATGAGGTGAATCAAAATTTTGGACTATTAAGCAGAATCAAAATTGCATTCACATGCATATATACATTGTTGTTTTTTGTTGCTTTTCTATTTCGAGACAATGCTTTATATTCCTGCATCCGCCTGCATTTTCGATGTAGTTCCATTTAGTTTCTGCTCGGTGGAAAACTTTCCCCAAGGGGACTCAAACCAGAGATAAAGAGGATCTACAGTTCACGATACTAATAGAAGGAAAATATTGATAGCAAAATAAATGAAAAATAAAGAATACTTGTGAATACAAAAATGAAAGAACGCGAATCTTGAGAATCTATTATATAAGACAGTTTTGAAAAAATTTATTAAGAAAACTTTTATTTGTTCTTACAATTATAATAATTAAGGAGTATTACATAAATAAAGTAAATAAATTATTTATACTTGTTACTAATTTAACTGTAAAGTAAGGACTCGATTTGGAATTTTGTCAGTGTTTTAAGGTCGTTAACTGTAGTGATGTCTTGTTAGTTTGGAAAGTTTCTACTTCAACAACAGAAAAGTTTTATATATATGTATATACAAGCTAAAACTCTGTAAACTTAATTATAAATATGCGGATTTTTTTTATAAACTAAAAAGTTTTTACACGGCTATTACAAAATTTGCCCTTCAGATACACCATATATACTATTTTCTGAAATTTTCGATTTCTCCTCATTTTAAATATTTTTATTTCTTGAAGCAATTTTTCGCCTCAAATTCTCTTTTGGAATTTTAAAAATTGATTTTTGTTTGTATACATTGGTTCAATATTCTCCATTTTTTTTTTTACCAAATTCTCCTTTTATTTTGGGTTTCGCGAAATTAGATCACGAATTCTGCGAAATCTGATCATGGATTTTATTAAACTAGGTCGTGAAATTAAATCACGGATTTGGTGAATTTAGATCATGAGTTCCGCTAAACTAGATCACAAATTTCGCGCAATTGGATCACGGTTTCCGCGAAACTAGGTCCCGAATTGCGGAAAATTAGATTACGGATTCGCGAAACTACGTCGCGGATTTCGCTAAACTAGATCACGGATTTCGCGCAATTGGATCACGGTTTCCGCGAAAGTAGGTCGTGAATTGCGGGAAATTATATCACGGATTCGCGAAAGTGGACCACGGATTTCGCGCCATTAGATCACTGATTCGTGAAAGTAGATCACGGATACGCAAAACTAGGTCATGGATTCCACGCAATTAGATTACAGATTCGTGAACCTAGATCACGGATTCCACTAAAATAGGTCGCGAAATTAAATCACGGATTCTGTGAATTTACCTTAATGAGTTTTGCTAAACTAGATCATGGATTTCACGCAATTGGATCACTGTTTCCACGAAACTAGATCGAGGATTGCGGAAAATTAGATCACGGATTCGCGAAACTACGTCGCGGATTTCGCTAAACTAGATCATGGATTTCGCGCAATTGGATCACGGTTTCCGCGAAACTAGGTTGTGAATTGCGGGAAATTAGATCACGGATTTCGCGTAATTAGATCACAGATACGTGAAACTAGATCACCGATTTCGCGCAATTAGATCACGGTTTCCGCGAAACTAGGTCGCGAATTGCGGGAAATTAGATCACGGATTCTTAAAAATACGTCGCGGATTCCGCAAAACTAGATCACGGATTTGGCGCAATTAGATCGCATATTCGTGAAACTAGATCACGGATTCCACTAAAATAGGTCGCGAAATTAAATCACGGATTCCGTGAATTTAGATAATGAGTTTCGCTAAACTAGATCATGTATTTCACGCAATTGGATCACAGTTTCCACGAAACTAGGTCGCGGATTGCGGAAAATTAGATCACGGATTCACGAAACTACGTCGCGGATTTCGTTAAACTAGATCATGGATTTCGCGCAATTGGATCACGGTTTCCGCGAAACTAGGTCGTGAATTACGGGAAATTAAATCACGGATTTCGCGCAATTAGATCACAGATTCGTCAAACTAGATCACCGATTTCGCGCAATTAGATCACGGTTTTCGCGAAATTAGGTCGCGAATTGCGGGAAATTAGATCACGGATTCTTAAAAATACGTCGCGGATTCCGCAAAACTAGATCACGGATTTGGCGCAATTAGATCGCTTATTCGTGAAACTAGATCACGGATTCCACTAAAATAGGTCGCGAAATTAAATCACGGATTCCGTGAATTTAGATAATGAGTTTCGCTAAACTAGATCATGTATTTCACGCAATTGGATCACGGTTTCCGCTAAACTAGATCACGGATTTCGCACAATTAGATCACAGATTGCTGAAACCAGATCACGGATTTTGCGAAATTAGATCACGGTTTTCGCGTTATTTGATCACTGATTCGTGGAACTAGATCACGGATTTCGCGAAATTGTAACTATTATTATTATTATTATTTTAAAAGTGAATAATTGGTAAAATAACAATAATACTATTGCAAAAAATTAAATATCCATGACGATAGGAAAAAAATTCGAATTTAATAATAGTAAA